AAAGTCTCATATTTCTGTAACTGGGATGTGAATGCGCATGTTCAGAACCCTGCCATAACGTCCTGTTGGAGAATGTGATTGATGACCTCAGCCAGAAGGGAGGGGACATGGGTAAAGTTCAGATGCCATTAAGTGGGATTTAGTTTCGGCTCCACAGAAGTCCATGCCAAGCTGTTAGTCCTAATAAATGAATGGATTTTCTTTGAACTTTGTCTGGAGGCTCGTAAATTAATTAGGTCAGCTCTTGGAAACTTCACAGACAGCTGAAACTGACTTTTAAAAATCTATTAAGATTTCCGGGTTTCCTGAATCCCGGGTTCTCCGAGCACTCCCCCACTATTTGGGGTGCTTGGAGGGAAAATCAGGCAACAGGAGGCTGAAAAAAAAGAATGATTACAGCTGGAGGTATGCGGCAATGCCAAGGAGCGATGTCTTCCCCAGCAGCAGAAGCAAGAAAAGATGAGTACTTTTGGAAATCAACCCCTAAAGCAGCTGAACTGGAATTCCCTTGCCCTAGTCCCCAGATACAGGGAAGCAAGCTGGCAAGGATGGATTGGAGGTGGGACTAGAAGCAAGCCAGGCTCCCAAAGCCCCAGTTGGAATCCCTAGGGTGTGCAATAGAGCAACTGAAGGAGGATCTTGACCAGGCCATCCTTGCTGATGAGGGGCCATCATGCCGCCCAAAAGAGAGTGGAGGGACATCTGATCCTGTTGGGGGGAAGAGATGCAGACTGGAGCGCAGCCCCCCTCCCCCTCCTGATAGAAGGAGAAGGAGCCCAAAACGGCAACCAGTGCCTCTCCCACGCAGCAGGCAGGCTGCCAAGAGCAGGCAACCCCCTCCCTCTCTCCAAACTAGGGGTGAAAAAGATGGCCAGCCATATCAGGCACAAGCATACAGAGGCCGACAGGTGGTTGGAGGAGTAGGGCTGAATGATCCGCCCCAATTCAGGGAAAGTTTGACGGGGACTCAGATCAGCTGGCTCTATTCCTTGATTCAGCTGATATCCACCTAGAACACTATGGGCACCTCTACCCATCCTGCAGAACCATGGTGAATGCCATCGCAGAGGGAGAAGCAAGGGAATGGCTAGCAGCCCTCCACAAGAG